ACCTGCCCGGTGTGTGCCAGGCCTTGAGTTCAATCCCTAGCACCACAAAAACATAAAAGGGTTCCCTTTGCAAACATGGTTAGGGTTATCTGGCAACTGTGAAATAAAATGAGGTTTCTATGAAAAGCCTGTGTGGCACTGTTTAGTAGTTTTAAAAAAGAAACAGAGAGGTTGGTGCTAAAGACAAAAGGTAGTTACATCCCCTAAACCCAGCTCTGTGACTACCAAACAGAAAGGATATCCTTGAGACAAGTATAGAGTTTGACATCAATTAGAACTTCTGGAAGAATTCCAGAAGGTGAGACTTGGGGGCAGTCAATCCTGAGGCATCCCTGCTCTGCTGGGATGGAGTATGGAGTATATGGAAGGTACGTTGGCCCCACTTGATTATCAAGAGGCTGGAATTCATTTACTAGACTGTATTTTTTTTTTTTTTTTTTTTGCATACCAGCACCATGCAGAGTAGTGGGCTAGGGAACCGGCTGAGAGCTGTCCTGTTAGGGCCACACAAGTCCCTGCCTGGGCTTATGCCTGAGCACAAAGGCAGGCTCTACAGCCCCACGTTAGGCCAGCTTGCTAAAGGGGGAGCCCCTGGGGATTCGCCAGCCTGGAAGGATGTTCCACGTCTCTGCCACCCTGCATCCCAGCTGCAGTGCTGCAGATCAGAACGAGCCCATCTGAGCACTCTGAGGGACCTTCTGTACAGCTGGTCACTCAGGTTTATCTCGGGGATGATTTCAAATGGCACAACTGAGTTTCTTCACTTGGATTTTACCTTGAGAAAATTCAAGTGATCTGAGAATTTTTTTTTTTTTTTAATTTGGGAAACTACTAAAGAAAGAAATGTTTTCCATTACTGTCATCACTGTGGTTATTTTTCCTAAAACCTTCAGGGAGTGATTCCTCACCATCGTTTTCACTTTATTTTGTGACGAGGATGAGCACATGTGAGTCATCTAAATTGGGACACTGCTAAGCATAATAGGGAGATACAGCCAGGATTATGCTGGAGAGCCAGGGTAGGCTGGGGTCGCCCTGGGCAAACAGGGACACACAGTTATTCAGTTAGGAAGAAGGGGAGAATGAAGGCACCCCCAAAGCACAATCCCAGCTGACATAAAACATGAGCAACATGTGACTGTTGTGTTGTGAACCACTGAGATCTGGAGGCATGTTACCACAGCATCCCCTGGAACCGGCTGATTAACACAGCCCTCTAGCTCTGTGACTTGGTTGCCAGCTCTGTAAAAAGGGACCCATCTCACTGAGTGGTCAAGAGGACTAAACGATTAGGACCGAAAACACAGCAAGAAGCTAATAAATGTTAGCTAAATTGTGAAGTATAGTAACATAGGAGAATAAGAGAAATACTCTAGGAATTCAATCAAGTCAAATTTCAAACAAAGCATACGATTCCTGGGAATGGAGGAAAGGTGAGCAGCCTTGCTCCCTGCACAGCAGCTGGTGCCCTTCTAGGACCCTGAGCCCTGGCCCTTGGGCCCTGTCTGTGGCCCACTCCTCACAGATCTTCTCTAATACCGCAACCAAGGACCATCATTCTGGTTCTCTCAGGTTCTTCTACTCTCTTGACCTTTCGTTCCTTTCATCACGTACACATGACAAAATCTTAACCTTGACTCATACAACAATTTACCTTTTTACTTCTGAGCCTGGATAGCTACGCAAAACCTTCCAGGGTTTCTGGAAAATCCTCACATGGGCTTTCCCAATGCCATCTCTCATTTCCCACAAGAGATATGTCAAAATCTGTCTTCAAGCTCTGTAACCCACGTGTGAGCATGAAGGAAGGGAGGAAGGAGAGAGGGAGGGAGGGAGGGAGGAAGGGAGGAAGGAAGGAAGGAAGGAAGGAAGGAAGGAAGGAAGGAAGGAAGGAAGGGAAGAGAAAGGAAGGAAGAAGGGAGGGAAGGAGGGAAGGAGGCGGGGGAAGAGGTCATTAGCCAGGAACTACACAAGTTGGTTCATTGTTCCTAAGCCAGTCCCTCTTCTGCCCTGGAACATGGCTTCTCCACTTTCTTGGTGGCTCTCAACCTTTGGAACACAAACATGCCAGAGACATTCCATCTTCCAAAACTTACTCCCTCAACCTGCGTTCAGCAGGTCCCTTCCGGTCTAATCTTGACCTTTCAAATCTATTTCCCACCCAGTTCCTGCCTAACCGAGAACAAGGACGAGGACACAGCAACTATCTCAGGGGAGGCTGCCATTCCACAACCACCCAGCAGCGAGGTGGGGCACTGCCTTCTCACTCTCCAAAGCCACTCCCAGATCATCTTTCCTGCGGCCTCATGGAGCAATCCCTGCTCACTTCAGGCTCATGCCATCTGGCTCTTGTAATTCATTCACACAACCAAGACTGATGGGAGTGCATTTCTCCTCCACTGCCCCTCTTCTTTTAAACAGAGATCAGGTGACTTACTGAAAACAAATACACAAATCTATTTTCCAGCCCTGTTTACCTGTGATACCCTTTTTTTTCTATAACCTTCAGAACAATCAAGTCTAAATCTAAAACCTTAACTCTACTCCTAACCCAGTATCCTTTATGATACCTGTCTACCGCTCCAATTTCATGTCTCACAGGGTTCCCCAAATCTCCTCAATGCCAAACATACCAGTGACTTTCACTTCCCAGACGGCTCCGTATCCGTGGCACCTCTGGGGTTCTGTCACTACTACTCCCCTCCTGACATACTCTGTGCCCTGCTGCCCACTTAGCAAATTACCAAGTCAAAAAACTACTAAGTTTTTAGAAGTTTAAAAAACTACATTTTTAAGTCATGTGCTACCTGTCCCGAGGAGCTTCCTCTACTCCTTCATCTATCAGAAAGCTCCTCTTGCCCCTGGCAGAGTTTGCTGACTCATGCATTTCCACAGTACTCTGCTGAATGTGGTTGCTGACTGACTTGCAGTTCTCCCTCACTAAACTGTGATGCTTACTAGTTAGAGATGTATTCATCTTTTAACTCCAGTTCCTACCAGGTTACCCAAAGACTCTCAGTAAACGTTTTGTGAATGAGTGAACAGTGATAAACATTCCCTTGAGTAGCACATTCCTCTCTTGGTGGCAAAGACTACATGTGTATGAGGAAGAATCCCAGCAGTCTTACATTCTCACCTGTTTACACGTATAAACACACATGCAGCTGTTGTATTAGTCAGCTTTCTGTTACTATAACAAAATGCCTGAATTAACCAACTTAGAAAGAGGAAAGGTTTATTTTGGCTTACAGTTTTTGAGGTTTTAGTCTATGGCTGGTTGACACCATTGGTTTTGGGACTGTGGCAAGGCAGGAACACACACAGCAGAAGAAGCTGCTCACTTCATGGTACCCAAGGAGCAAAAAGAGAAAAGGAAGGGAATGGGTTCCCACAATCCCCTTTGCTGCACACCTCCAAGGACCTATGCTCTCCCACTAGGCCCCAGCTCTTAAAAGGTTCACTATCTCCCAAAAGGGTCACTCTGGGCATCAAGTCTTTAATACATAGGCCTTTAGGGGACATTCTCTGTGTCCCGCAAATACACATTCTTTATGAATATATGGGCCATATGAAGAATATATGTGGAGGGTCACTCATTTTCCTTTACCTTGCTTTCCTCTTTGCTTATAAGCCCCTGTATATTTTTCCACTGTGACCCTTTGTGCCAGGCAACTTTATTCTGTTCTTTAAACAGCTACAGCTCCTAAACATCATATAATTTCTCAATATTCTTACTTTATGCAATGGTTTGGATATGGTTTAATGGTGTACCCACCCCCACATTCATGTACTAGAGGCCTGGTCCTCAGAGTAGCACTACTGGGAGGTGCAACCTTTAGGAGACAGGCTCACTGGGTGATCCTCAGGTCACCAGAAGTACCCCTGGGAGACATCCCTTGGGAGAGGGCTGTTGTACAGGGAGCAGCCTGCCCCTCCCACCCTGTGCTCCTGGTGAGCCTTGACTGCTCACCCCACACATATTACCATCTGCACGAGGGGCCTTGCTTCGAAGGTAGGCCCTCGCTGGGCTTGCACAGTGCTATTTAGATTTAGAACTGTGAGTGACATAAAACTCTTTTATACAAAGCTAGTCCACCTCAGGTATTTTGTTATAGTAACAAAACAGCTGACACTCAATATTCAAGACAATTTTCCCACATAGATTATTTTGAGTAAAGACCAAGAGAGAAACTGTCACTACCTTACATTATCAATATTCATTCAATACATGTACCATCTCCCCATAAAGAATGTAAACATTCCATACTATAAACACATACTAATAAAATATTTTTTCATTCAGTCTTTCCCCTAGATTCAGTTATCTCAATTCCTCTAGCCATTCCATAAATAGTAACATGCTAGAAAAGCAAATACAATTTTTTACACTGTTATAATCTCAAATGGGATACATAATTGGCATACAATTATTAATAGTTATTTCAAAAATTCCTTCCACATTCAGATTACTGAAGTATTTATTTTTAGAAAAGAAATCTTCATCTCAATGTTTATTTTCAATTTGTGATTATTCTGTCCCTCCCCAAGATCTCTCTATGCCGAACCTTGGGTCCCATTAAGAGCATTTTTCATTTTGTCAGTTTTTTTTTAATTTGAAAGTAACATGGGCTTTATTGGAGGAAATTATCTACTTTAATGTTAAAATGTTAAACAATTAGCAATTAGATTTTAAATAAATAGCAATTTATCATTCCGCAAGACTGGATATACTAAATGAACTTTTGTTTTAAATTGTTATGCTTGTCTTTAGCAAACAAAATATCTTGCCAAGTGTGATTGTGCATACTTGTAATTCTAGCATTTAGGAGACTGAGGCAGGAATATCAGGAATTTGAGGCCTATCTGGGCTATGTAGAAAGCTTAAGTCTTACCAGGACTACAATGCAAGAACCTGTTTCATAAATAAATAAATAAAACAACAACAAAAAAATAGAAAACAAAATATCTTGAAATAGCTATGTCACAAGACAGAAAGTATCTTTTTTTTTTTTTTAGTAAATATCTTTAATGGATATTTAATTAGTATGGGAATGACAAGCTAAAATGTGAAATTAACAAGGACAAGCAGCTTTTCAAATTCTCTTTTAAGTCTTTAGAATATTTAATTTTCATCTATCACCATTGTTGTTATATAATCTTTGTAATGAATTAAATTTGATTCTGGATCAACTGCAGCTGACAGCATTTCTTCCATTTCCTCTTGAGAAAAAGGCTCACCTGGGAGAGACAAGAAAGGAAATCCATCATTTATAATAGTCTGACTTTTACTTTCTCTTTCCACTAACCTTGGGGCCCCCTGTGTGTCCACAGTGTCACTATTTCTTCTTGGCGCTGTAGGGCCAGCACCCAAAAGCATGCTGCTGGACACCCTAGCAGACTGCGGACTCACCTTACCCTTGCCATTACAGACCAAGCCAACTGCAGAATCCATTACCTCCGTCACAACACTAGCAGGACACAAAGACATCATGGATGTAGGTGTTTACTGCTTTAAATCCAAACAATTGAAGTTGCAAAAGGATCGGCCTGAAGCCTCAGTCCTACATGGACGCTGATCATTACGTGCAGTAAGAGTATGAAGAGATGATTCAGTGTTTGGTCTGCAAAATTACTGAGAAGCAGATAACTGAGAACTGAAATTGTAACAATTCTATCGGGGAATATTTCCTAACCCATCTGGCCAGGTCAGCGATGCCCACTGACTCCAGTGAAGAACACAACTCATCAACCATTTCAGAACTCCTCCCTGTGAGAGTTTGGTCTGAGAGCCATAGTGGAAATGGGTTTCACCAAGAGGAAAAGCAACCTCCGGAAGACAGTTTGAAAGACTGAACATGATTTAAGACAGAACTGTGTCATAATGCTGAATAACAATATAGAACTTCTAAATCACCACCTTTGGCTCTGCAGGGAGAGTCTTACCCAAGCAGCTAAGTTCCCAAGGCCTGAGGTCTGCTTAGCTCATGAGCTTAAATCACCTACCACTATAAACAGTGCTCCCTATGTTGGGAGTCACTTACTAATACTGAAATTATTCAGTATGGATGATTGTGATGACAGTGAAGGTAGTACTGTGAAACAAGAGAAGCATGGCCCAGAGCTTTTTGAAATCATGCCTACATCCTAATAAAAGAATGGCTAATGTGCTAAAAATTACAAGTTCTGAATCATCCTTAAACCTGATGATTATATACAAAATCTACTGCCGAAGGAACTCTGATGTAAATCCTTAAAAGTATATTAAGTAACCAACATTTATTAAGCAGTGCTATGTGCCAGGCATTGATCTAGGCATTTCACATATATTAACTAAGTTAATCAATCTCCCAACCGCAACTGAGAGGTAAGAACTTGTGTATTACTGATGGCACCCAAAGAAACCGGACAGCTGGCCCCAGCAAGTGGTGGGGTGGCTGGGATCGAAAGGCCAGGAGTCGAGCTCATCATCTGCCAGCTGAACACTTACACTCTGCCACTTAGAACAAGGCCTAGCTCCCAGCGGAAGATGGCAGAAACACTGCCTTTTGCACAAGGAGAGACACACAGTATTTGACTTTAAGGAAGGCTGGCTCTTTCTAACTAGCTTTAAGGTCTTGGCCAAACGGCTCTCAGTGCCTCAGTTTCCCCCACATATAAATGGAGACGATAATACTCTCCACCCATAGGACTGCTATAAGGATTAAATGGGCAATTATTTGATTATCACTTAGAATATTATCTGACACATAAGCAGCAACATACAAGTATTTATTTAGAAAATGTTTTTGAACTTTTTCCTACTGCTAGACACTGATGCAATTCAAATTCCTGGACATGTGTGGATTTTATCTTGTAGGAATTGGATTCAGTGTAACTTATGATATTTATCATATAATTTCCTGGGCATTTAGAACACATATCCTCAAACTTATTAATATATTTGAAGCTCTGGGAATATTGTAGAAAGTTGTACAAGTAACTTTAATCTATGTTATTAAGCATAGAAATACTTAAAAACGATTTAGAAATTTGAGTATCTCCAGCCACTAGCTACACAGATATTTTACTAGGCTAGTCAACTGCTATTAGAGTTAGACGGCAGGTCTTTTATATTTAATAACAACAACACCTTACACTTGTATAATACTTTACATCTTATATATCATCATCAAACATTAGCTCATATGTGACAGGCACTGAATAATACTTGTTGAATGAAACACTGAAGTCACATATTTGAAATCAATTCGTTTCCTATGTGCAGTCCAGTACAATAACCAATAGTTGACCCTTAAGTACTATTAACTCTCTGTAAATTTACCTTTTGGAAATTCCTGTCACACAGCACCTCCACGTAAGCCACCAGTGGCCCTGTGCTCTGTCTCTGTATCAGTGCCATCCCCTCTCGAGTCCCCTGGTTCAGCCCCTGGCGCTGCCGTAATACCCACCACTCGGTCGAGCCTTGCTGTTCTTTTTGACTCTGCTCCCACCATTGTCCCCTGCCCTGGGTTACTCATCGTGACTCAGGGCCCAGGAGTCCCGCTGTAGAGAACCCACTGTACAATCCCTGCCTCCCAGTCCCACTGCCAGGGCAGGCCCTTATGAGGGTACCTTCAAAACGCTGAGCGAGCCTTCAAAAGAGCTCCTAACTGAGCTCCCCCGCCTAACCTCTTTCCTTCTAACAAACCTGCAGGCACTAGAATAACTTTCCCACAATCACCCCAGCACTGTGTGACTCACCTCCTCAAAGCCCTATAATACTCCATCGTCCACAGGATGAAGCCTAGACTCCTGAGCCCAGGCCTCCACAGCTTGGTCCCAGAAATCTATCTCAATGAATTTCCTACTGCTGGCCAACAAGACCAGCGGGGCCATGTACACTCCCACTCCCAGCGTCTGTTCGCACTGTTTTACCCACCTGGGTTTCTCTCACCAGCCCATTTCCCCACATTTCCTTCAACTGCTCATTCCTCTGTTTATCATAGTTAACTCGCTATAATAATTTGTTGATACCTATTGTATGTGAGGGGGCTAGGATGCTTATGGTTATACCCCAGCCCTCAACAGCCCACCCAAGTAAATCCTACCTTCTTTAGGTTTCCCAGAACCTATTTTTGGTTAGGCTTCCAAAACTAAGATTTTCAAGCTGCTCCACCCTGCATTAATCTTCTGATATTTATTTTTTTATTTCTTTATATTGTGATTTGTTTAATAACTTAGTTTTGTTTCCCCAATAAGACTGTAATATCCTCGGGGGAGAGCAGATTTCAGTATCACTGCCCCTGGCTGTGCTCACTCAGTGAGACACACACAGTAGGCAAACAACGTTCCTTAAATTGAACTGTTTTGGTCATTTTGACTAAATTCATGTTGCCTAATATAATGACTTCCTTTAATCCTTATGATTAAAAGGTAAACGCTTTGGAAGTCGTAATATTCCCACCACAGTTAATCCCTAAGATGATCTCAACAATGTCCTAGGAGTTCCTGGGTGACTGCCATGACTTTTGTGTTATTCTTACCCTTACTTCCTGTTCTTCTACCTAATGGTGGATCAAGTGAAAATGGTCAAACCAGTTGTGCATTTGCATGTCTTAGTCTTTCCTCCACAGAATTACTTGTACTTCTGATCCTGTCTCAAGTGATTAGTGACTCAGAATCACACAGGATTCGGTCTCTGAAGCAGTGAATTGAGCAAAGGAGAAAGAACCCTTAACTTAGTATAGGAGTAGCAGAGGGGGCCATTATGAGAATGGTTCCACGAGACTGTCCCTCAGGCATGGACATTCAGGAGAAACTGATTTACACATTGGCCTAAGTAGGGAGAAATCCTAATGGAAATTACATGAACATATGTGCTAGTCTATGTTCAAAGCAAATATAAATGTCTCCATTAGCATAAAATATAAAATTTTTGCACAAGTTCATGTTCAGTTGAGGCTATATTATTATTTTTAACTTTACCAAGCTCTTTTGAAAGAAATTTTGTGTATACTCCAAATCTTCAATCTAATAAAGGTATTGATTTACAGTTCATGTTGTTTAGGTGCCATATCTTTCGTGCTGCAAATACTCTATGCGAATAAAGTGGTTATATGTGTGTGTATGTGTGTGTGTGTGGTACTGAGGATTGAACCCAGGGCCTTCACACTGAGCTACATTTCCAATCCTTTTTTTTAATTTTTATTTTTAGACAGGGTCTCACTAAGTCCCTAAGTTAACCAGCCTGGGCTCAAACTTGCAATCCTGCTTTACCCTCCCAGAGTGCTGTAATTAAGGCTCATGCTAACACTCTTGGCAAGTGACTGCAATTTATAGAAGTAATCATTAAACTTCTATCATACAAAAGGCAATAATCTGTCCCCCTTTACCTTACCCTTTGTCCTCTGAACCTCCAACCAAAACCACTCCCAAATCAAAATGAGACTAGTAAGTAACTCTTTTAACTAGAATGATCGATTTTAAAGAATTCCCTATAACTTTTTAAAAACTGTTAAAAACTATTAATCCTAAGTCACTGTTATAAGTATTAAAGCACTCTTACCTTCTTCAGTCATATACTTGATCAATTCTTCCTTAGTAAGAAATCCACGTTTAGCTGAATCTAAAGTCTAGGGGAAAATCAGATATTATATATTTTATTTGGCAAATAAATTTTATATAATAAAATTTTCATATACAAGTTATGACTGGAAAATATCTGAGTGTTTAAAATTTAAAATGTTTATTATAGTAAAGGAGAGATTGCCATTAATCTCTTTCAAAATACTCCCCCTTGCTTTAAACATACTTATTCCATTATTCTTGCCACTTTCTGAAGCAGTTCTGGAAGTCCTCTTTCATGAGTTTCTAGCTGTGCTTTCTTGCTGCCTCAATGTCCTGAAGCAATTCAAATCATTTTCCTTTCATGGTTCTTTTGGCTTTGAGGAAGAGCCACAAGTTGCACAGTGCCAGATTCCATGAATAAGGTGGATGAGGACACACTGTAATGGTTTTACAAGCCTGCCTTCCCACTGGACAGCACTCAGAGGCAGCACTCACCATATTTTTTTAATCTATCTCATAAAGACACTCATGAAAGGAGACTTCCAGAACTGCTTCAGAAAATGGCAAGAATGATGGGATAAATGTGTTCGAAGTGAGAGTGAGGATTTTTAGGAAGATTAAAAGGAATTCTTCTTTCATTGTAATACATTTTTAACTTAAGCAATTACCATATATTTGATTATCCATTGTCTCTATGAATAAGCTGGAGCATACATACCTCAAAAGCCTGAAGAAGGACATCATCTGGAATTGGTCTGTATCTATAATTATGTCATAGAAGAGTTAATGTCAGAGAATTTATTTCAATCTCTACATTATAAATGAACACTTTAAAAAGTAAAGTTGCTAACCTACTAGGGTAATGATGCTTCTCTCACTGAAATATTTTTGGATTTCTAGATATGAAAATCAATTATACCTTACTCCCATGGAAATACTTTGTTCAAGATCACTGGCATATTTAGTCTTATCTATTAGCTTTTTCTCATCTTGGAAATCAATTCATCTAGGAACAAAACCTCTACAATCAGGCAACTTTAGTAAGCTAATGCTATACTTTATGACAAAAATAACTAGGATTAATTCTTATTTATAACTGACCATTTAAAATAGTTAATGATTAGGATATTGTTGATTTATTATCTTTGTAGCTTCTTTGACCTTTGATTATGCTTTGCTTAGAGTAATACTAACATGGTTGATTTTCTAAGCACATTGCAACTGGAAGTTCAGAAGTACAATTAAAAGATTAGAAAGAAGCCAACCTAAGACATTTGGAGTAACATACACAGAGTGGAAAAAAACAAGTGTTTAAAAGTAATGTAAGCCTAATCATCAGTTTGCCTGAAATTGCATTTACTTACTTACCTTCCTTCCAGAAGTACCTTGGTCATCACTGGGAGAAATTTTTCATAGCGAATGTATCCAGTGGGTTCTTCTTCCTCTACCTAAACATTCAATAAAGAAACAGCCATTTACTTACTTAACATATACACTGAGCAACTACTTTGTAAAGGGACCATGCCCAGTGCTGGGGTTTGATAATGAGGACACCTGGGCTTGATCCCTGCTCACAGCACTTGTATTTTTCCACTCAAAAAACCCAAAAGCAAGTGTCTAATTCTAAATACATGTAGCGAAATGAAGTAAATTATCCTGATGCTATAGGAACATATAATAAAGGAGACTTTCTGAGACCAGGAGAGCAGGAAACTCATTCACAATGACATAACACTCGAGCTGATTCATCAAGGGTGCGAGGAGAGGGTAATACGATAAAGACAGGAGAGAAGACTCGCAGGCAGAGGAAACTGCGGGCACTGGGACTGTGGCAACACAGAGAAGGCAGTGAGCTGCAGCAGACAGGGCAGCAAGCAGGATGTCACAAGAGGAAGCTGGAGAGAGACAGGGACCAGACCTTGCAAGGCCTCGTCCATGAGAGCGACTTTGGTTGTCAACCTAAGAGCAGCGGGAGATCACTGAAGGTCTCAGATGTGTATTTTGAAAGATCACTCTGGTTGTGGGTGAGCTGGCTTTTTCACGGGTCTACACAGACACGATGAGGGCTTGGACTGGAGGGGTGGCCCTGGAGACAGAAGTGGATTGTTTCAGGAAATGTTTAAGAAGTAAAATTGATAAGCTTGGTTCAGCACCAGAGAAGTCAAGGGCAACTCTCCAGTTTCTGACTGGCTCCAGTGGGATGTATTGGGGTCTTTGGTTAGCAGCCAGTCACTACTTCAAAGACCAAACTACACTGCAAATCATTGCAATACCTGTTAACTATCTACCTTGATTAATAGAAGTTTGCAGTGTCACCACTAAATTAAGAAAACACTATTTCTGAGATAGAGAATTTTTGGTACCCAGCACTATTAGACAAAAATACCCATGGGTTCAATTTCGATGGAGTGGCTGTACAAAGCACAACTGACATTAACTAATACCAGTCTATTTATGAAGAGCTATAAATTTTCAATGCCCTTTAAAAAATCCTATTAAAAGGCTCATAGATCCCAGTTCAACAGATGAGCTTATAACAGATTTATTATTTGAGCCAAAACTAAGAAACTAGAGGTTGCTGCTAAATGGAACACAGTCACCCAAATAATTAATTTTTAATCTTTATACTGGATTCAGCACTACTGTAAATGAAGGCCCAATGCTCCACTATCAGTGAAAATCTAATGCCTCTAGTGACAGAATATCTCCAAATCTCTGAGCCCATCAATACATGAACAACTGTCTTCAGCTGCCTCTGGGTCCAAGGTGAGCATTTTGCAAATTAATGTTCATATGGCTCTGATGTGCTTGAGCAGCACTCTGAATTTCCACTCTGAGTCTCTTACAAACAGCGTGTCGCTCTTACGAGATTCCCCACAGAGTAATCATCTTAAAACACTGAGTCTCTCTCCAGACATTTGCTCCATAAACTAGAGCAAGGGCTTCCTTCCCTTTCCCTGACTGCTAACAAACCACTGCACGGCAGACAATAGCAAGCTTTACAAAATGACAGCCTTCCTCCCTCTCCTGAGTACCTCTGTAACTCTACAGACTGTTTGCAGTGTTTCAGCCATGGGAAAATGCAAGATGACACACGGCATGTACCTCATGCTGTGTCCTCGGGGGGTGGGAACACTGTGGTGAAACTGTGGGTCATTCTTCCTTAATAGACTTTTCTGCAGCCAAAATTAAACAAAAATAATACGTTGAGAGAAGATATTCAATTAGAACAGCAGAAGGCATACATTTTCCTTAGTGTTTGTTAAGAAAAGGGGGGGGGATAATGAATATAAACACAGGCCTTGTGATTAAAAAAGAAAAACGCTAAATCCATCTACTTGGGCAGAAATTATAAAAATCTTTCTATGACACAACACTGTCCTCTAGAGGCCGTATCTAACCTGTCCTTTGGACAGACAGATGTATGAGCAGTGGCATTTAACTACAACGATTTAACTGTATGTTCTACTCATGATATCCATGGAATGTCTCTATTGCCAGGCACTATTTTATATTATAAAAAGTTTTTACTTTTTATTTTAGAATAGCTCTACTTTACAGAAAAGCTGCAAAGATAATACAAAAAAATCCTCATGTACACCCCAGCCAGTAGACCCCAGATCTCCATATTCTTTGTAATTTTTCAAGGTTTAGTGAGATCTCTTTGACAAATTAAAATTGTATACATTTACAGTACATAGTATGACATTTTGAGGTACATTTATGGGGAAGTGATTGCCACTATCAAGTTAATTAACATCCATCACCTAAGTGATTACCATTTGGTATGTGGTAAGAACACTTAAAATCTTTCTTAGTAGATTTCAAGTATACAATGCATTAGTATTAACTATAGACATCATACTGTACATTTGGTCACCAGAAATTGTTCATCCTATATAACTCAAAGTTTGTACCCTCTAAGCCAAGATCTCCCTATTTCCCTGGTAAGTGCCCCCCCATTCTCTGTTTTTAAGTTTGATTTCTTTAGATCCTACACACAAGGAGATCATGCAGTATTTATCTATTTGTCTCTGATTTATCTTACTTAGCATAATATCCTCCAGGTTTATTATTTGCTGTCACAAACAGTATGATTTTTTTTTTTTTTTTTCTGGTTTTTGTCCGGTACCAGGAACTGAACTCACGACCTTGCACTTGCCAGGCAGGCGCTTTGCCGCTGAGCTAAATCCCCAGCCCCTAACAGTATGATTTTTGAGGCTGAATTATATTCCATTGTATATATACACCACATTTTCTTTATCCATCCATTCATTCACAATTTGTTTCCAAATGTTGCTATTGTGAATAATACGGCAACATAACGATGCAGATCATTGCTCTAGATTCTGATTTCATTGCCTTTCAAATACATGCCCAGAAGTGGGATTACAGGATCGATGCTAGTTCTATTTTTACTTTTATCAGGCACCTCCATACAGTTTTCCATAACAGCTGTACCCTACTAGGGTTATGTTTCTTCATTACCTTCACCAACTCTTCGTATATTTTGACTTTTTAGCAATGGCCATCCTAACTGGCATGCGGTGATGTCTCACTGTAGTTTTGCTTTGCTTTCCCCTGATGAACAGTGGTCTCCTACTGAGTTGTATGAGTTCCTCACATATCTTCGCTATTAACCCCTTACAAGACAGATACAAATACTTTCCCCACTCTGTCGGTTGCATTTCCTTTGCTGCGCAGAAGCTTTGTAGTCTGATGTAGCTAGTCCCACTTATTTATTTTTGCATTTGTTGTCTGTGTTCTTGGTGGTGTGTCCCAAAAATCACCGCCAAGACCAATGTCAAGGAACTTTTACCATTTTCTTCTCGTGTTATAGTTTTAGGTCTTAGGTTTAAAAGTTTGATTCATCGTGAGTTGATTTTGTATGTGGCATGAGATAAAAGTCTAATTGCATTTTCCTTCATGTGGATATCAGTTTTCCTAACACCACTTATTGAAGAGACTGCCCTATCCCGATCGTGTATTCTCACTGCTCTTGCTGAAGACTAGTTGACTATAGGTGCATGGGTTTATTCCTGGGCTTTCCGGTCTTTCCAATGGTCTGTATGTCTGTTTCTCTATCAGTACCACAGTGCTTCAGTTACCACTGTCTTACAATGTAATGTGTCATATAATTCCTCTGCTGTTAATTCATACACAACTACAGTACACTTGTCACAACTAATGAACCCATATTAATACATTATCATTCACTAAACTCTAAACTTTATTTGGATTTTATTAGTTTTTCTAAAAGGCATTTAAAATATGGTATATTCCTCTATTATAAAGAGAAAGCAAAATAGCAGGCTAGACTATTTCTGGGAACCTGGAAACATGGCTGGAAAGAGGGAAGGACAGGACATGGTTCTTTTATCTGGAGTGGGATAAGCTAGTTAACTTTGGGAAGCCATCAGTAAGATGGTACAAGAAAAATACTTTTTAGAAATGTTATGCAAAGATGACTCAATGATTATTTAAATCCATGAATTAAAATGTCTTTAGGATTTAATACACTCTATCAATTATTAAGCCATTATCTATAGTGTGTGAATGTGTGTATTTATGGGCATGTATATGGAGAAAGTGCAGTGTATTATGGGTTGTATTGCCCCTCCAGGAGCAAGTATTGAAATCCTAATTCCCAGCACCCAGAATGTGACTTTATTTGAAGACAGAGTCAAGTTAAAATAAAGTCATAGTATGGGCCCTAGCTCCATCTGACTGCCCCATAGCAAGGGGCAATGTGGACACAGACACACACACAGGAAGAACACCGGGTGAACATGAACATGGCCCTCTGCAGTCAGGGAGCAAGGCCTGGAATAGCTCTTCCCTCATGGCCTTCAGAAAGAACCAAACTCTGCTAGCATCTTGCTCTCGGACTTCCAGCCTTCAGAACTGTGAGATGACAAATTGCTACTGTTGAAGCCACCTGGTTTGTGGTATAAGGTTATAGCAGCTCTACCTAAATAAATATTATATATAGTATATACATTATTATGTATATTATATATTTTTTTAATGCAAAGACTCTGAATCGCTATCAGACAAAAATCCTAAATCTCTCAGCTGGAGATTAACAAAGCAGATATTAAAAATTCTGAACTATTATTTTTGTAGTCGATATAGGAAAAAAAGTAGTGCAGTCTAGACCTGCTTTCTCCAGAAAAAAATTCAATTAATTAATTTTGATTCCCTAAATTATAACAGATGTCTTTTAAGAAGACTGTAAATTCATTACTATTTCTTCACTTACAGCACTGTCATATTGGGAAAATCCACTTGACTTCTTGCTGTATTAGGTAGGGTCTCTAAAAAATAGACATTGCCTTTCTCATAGAAAAATATGTTCTAGGATGTAGCTCCATGGTACAGTGTGAGCGCCTGGGTTCCATCTCCAGCAGAGAGAGAAAGGAAGAGAAAAAGAGAAAGAAAAAGAGAG